TACAAGCATCTCGACACACCCAAAACATATGCACGAGTCCTCTTCGTAGATTTCTCCTCTGCTTTCAATACCATGTAGCCACATCTAATGATATACAAACTGAGTACCGATAACTTAAATGTTAGCCCTTACGTACAAGCATGGGTTCTAAACTTTTTAACCCGACGTCCCCAGTATGTTAAAGTCAATAACATCAAATCGTCAACTCGAGTACTATGTACGGGTGCTCCACAATGTTCAGTACTTTCTCCTGTACTGTTTGCATTAATGACATAAGAAGCATCTATGACTCAGTTAAACTCATTAAATTCGCTGATGATACTGCCATAGTCGGTCTTATTTCAGGAGACGAAACTCAGTATCGAAGCGCGATAGAAGTGTTTACAAACTGTACACTAACAACTTTCTAGAACTGAATGTCACAAAATCTAAGAACTTAGGCCTATAATAGATTTCAGAAAGAAAAAACAGATGATACACTACATTGATAGAAAAAATAAAATCATATAAATATCTAGGCGTCATCATTAATAAGCGATCAGGGAAGACCACCTTGGAACTTTGACAAAGAACGTAGCCCAGCGACTATTTTTCCTACATAAACTCAATAGCTTTAAACTAACAAGAAGAGCCTAGATAATTTTTTCTGCAAGACTACAAAATCTGCTAGCATACGAAATAACTTGTTAGCAAAGCAACGCTTCATCTAAACAGTTGCGCCGCCTAAAAAACATAAAAAAAAAGGGCATCAAAAATCACACGCACAACAACACCATATTTAAAGGAACTTTTTGAACTGATATGTCTTAGAAAAATGCAAAAATCTTGGAAGACAACAGCTATCTGCTCCATCAGAACTACGTCAAGTCGTCGCGAAGCTGGAGACTACCGGTACTGTCATTCAAAACAATAACAGAGCGGTACAAAAACTCGCTCGTACTTTACTCGGTCAGACTTTATCAACACCAAGATGCCCGTGTAGTTGCTGAATGAACTATTAATGTTGTGTATGTTATACTTATGAGAAAAAAATTCATGTAATCACAACAAATTTCCATAAGGATCAATAAAGCAGTCTTAGTCTTGTTTTTTTTTTATTAAAAATTGTGTACCGGTAGATAGGTCTTTACATGTCCCTTTCTTGTCTATTCCACTCTTGCCTTTTACCAGGATGTTAGTACCTGCACCATTTCGATGTGGAGAAAATTATTAATTTTCTTTAAGTTTGTAATCAATTTATTAGTACTGGTAGTTAATAAGTAAAGCAATCCGTCAAAAAAAATGACTTACCGTGTTAGTCTATTGTATAAACAAGATCGTCCATTCCTTGATGTCCCCTGTCTGCCGCCTCTTCTTTTCCCTGGTTATGTTCTCTACAGAAAAGTCTTTGCAAGCCGATGATTTTATTACAAGGCCGTACAATCAGCGTTTTAAGTGTAAGTTGTCAGTGTGTCATCGTGGTGCCCAATCGCCAAAGTGATTCTGTTTCCGATTCTTGGGTTCTTTACATGTGATAGCGGTACGGTACCATACTTAGAATCCTCCTCTCTGATGCCGCACAGTCCAAGATTCGCACGTGTACCGGAATGCAGCCCAAGAGCATGCCAGTCTGATTTTTATGTGGAAGGCTAGACCTTTATATATTGTCTTGAACTTAGTATGTGCCATGGTAATTCTGGCCAGGTTCCTACGTGAGATGATAGCTCACAGATATATGCCGGTACGGTATTTGAATACAGTACCATCTATCCGCCTCGACTTCAGGACAGGTGTAAATGAGTTAGCCTCTGTAATAAGGAGACGGAAGAGCAGATATTCTATGCATGCAGATTGTAATTTATAATACTGTTAGTACCGGTCAAAAAATGTACTGTCAACTGTGGTAACATCTTATACTATTGGGTTTAAGAAAAGTTTGCCAATGCATATCAATTTAATTGAATGTAACTCAACAGATTGACGAATGTACAGTTAAAAGTAGACCTTGGCTACCCAAGCAAGAAGCCACAAAAACGACAGTACTAGATTGTGTACCTAAAATTTAATGTTTCTTTTTTTAAAAAGCCTAGAAGATGTTTTGTCTAAATTGTAAGAAACTTACATCAAAACTATACCAGTGTTCAGCACTCTTTTTTTTGTTTCATTGAAATCAGTTTCTGCATAATGTAGTTATGATATTTGATTATAATATGGCCACTTAGTTTTGATTTAATGACAAACAAAACCAAAGTAAGCCTTGTATTTAAAAAAAGTGATCATTTAATGACTAATAACTCAGAATGATTGGTGAACAAATGATTGACACTAAAGTATAACAAAATAGATTTCCAAAATGAATGCCACAAACAATTACACACACACACAACATTTGTTTGTAATGGTTAAACAATGAGATGAGAACATATATATAGTACAGCAATCAAGAGTAAAAGTACTTAGCTGGTTTAAAATTCCTAACAAAAATCTAAAACAATTAGTTTGGACTTTAACATAAAAAGGAAGACTTTCTACATTATAAGTAAACAGATACTAAAGGAATTCTTAAGCTTTCTCTTTGATCCAATGGAATATATCTACAAATTTAATAAGTAATTTAAAGACTGAGATATTGAAATGTCCTTGTCTTGATCTCATCTTCCTGTGTAACTGACTCCTCTACCTGAAACAGTTAATAAGAATAGTTTTTAAATTTGGACACCAATTTAATTATTTTTAAACAATATAATAAACAATTTAAAAAGCAGTGCTTGCCAATTTTTTCTTTTAAAGATATCTTTTAGCTTTCACTTTTTGTCACTTAAGCTATACTGTCATATGATAGATGAGCCATAATAACGAAATTGTGGACAAAAAAAAAACTGTCATTAAGACGTAATAAATGTAGGATAGACCTTGGTCTTCAAGGTACAACCATAAAACTGTTACCACTTGAGTTGTATGTCAATCTTCTGCATAATTAAACTTGCTGCATGAATCTCTTTAATATAGTCAAAATGACCCAAAAAAGTTCTAGCCATTAAGCTTTATTTTTATACCATATAATCTTTCAACTGAAGCAGAAAAAAAAAAAAATTTAAGGTTTCAACTACTGGTATATAACAACTTTTTCTATATCTAACATACTCTCAAAGCACACCCGGTACTGTGGATTTGTAGCATGGGTTTCAATAATGGGGAGTTACACATCTGTCAATTTAGATTGACAAGCACTGCTTAGATGGGTGCTACTAGACAACACAGAGCAATGCAAAATGGGATCATTCTATTTATATATATATATATATATATATATAACTCTTCCATTTACATATGGTACACAAATATTGTCAATAAATGTAAGATAATAACTTTAAGGAAATCAATTTTTTAAATATCAAAGCTCTATCATGAAACAAGATTTTCTGTTTTAGTATGGTAGCACCCAATGTAAATATCTTGACAAAGAGTAATTTTTTACAAATCTAATGACATTTTCTAAACAAAAAATGTGTAAATGTAAATATACCAATAAAGTCTTGAACATAATTTAAGCATTTCATTTGATGCAAAAGCCAAAAAAAATTTAAAAAAAATACAAAAACATGCCAACTGCTACCAAAAGCTTCATTTATTTTAAATAAAAAAAAAGAAAAAAAAAAGACTAAACTTAATTGTTGAAGATATTTTTGTTTAAAAAAGCTGAAATGCTTTTGATAGAATCAGTCCGGTGTTGAATAATGAAAATTACTTAGTAATAACAACATGGTTACATTGGGAAATGGCACAGGGAAGAAAACAACATCTATCTCTGTTAGGAATTAGTCTGAAACACATACATGCAGCTTGATACTTAGGTTTAGTATTACAACAGTGCTACTTAATGAGACCAAGAGTCATGGCTCAAGACAGTACTTTTATCCTTCTCTTCCCATTCAGTGCTACTTAGTGATTACAGTTTCTCCCATACCATTAAATATCCATTTAGTTTTGTTTTTGTATTTTTTTTTTTTAATTCAATTAGGATCGCAGTGACTCCCAACAAAAAAGCCAAGACACAAAAAAAGTGGGAAATCACCTCCCTTTAGCACTGATGTGAAAAACACTTGCCTAAAAAAAGATAGGATCTTGAGCAAAAGCTGACTGACTGTCTCCAGGTTTCCCACCTGTTCCACCCATTCCCGGTCGTCCATAACTGTTTTGTTGACCAACATTGCTTCCTTGGCGGAAAAAGTCACCAGCTCCCCCAGCAGCACCTCCCATTCCCACTCCTGGTCTGTCCATGTTACGGTAAAAGTCTCCACCAACTCCGTTGCCATAAGCGCCTGGTGCACCTACTCCTCTACCTGTTGCAGCACCAGCAGCACCGGATGGCTCAACACCACGCCCTGCACCCATTGGTTTCCTGCAAGAGTGGTTTTAAGTGGATTGTTCATTCAATATGCCCGAAAAAAGGGAAAGAAAATTTAACATCAATAAATGAGCATTACGGACTATGCAGTTATTTTTAAAGCAATAAATATTCTAATGAGAAACATTTCATGAATAATAGGCTACACTAAAATTCAAATATTTTTTTATTTAAAAGACTGATTTTATCAATTGCCATAAAAAAGAAATGAGCATTCCAAGTGCAGCAAAGAAAAAAAAAACCGACCTGTCATAATATTCTGGTGGTGGTCTTGAAGCCAAAGGATCTCTTTCTCTCAGATATGGATCAGGAATACCACGTGAACGCTCATCCATGTAAGACCTTGGTGGCATAAGTCTCTCTCTTGGGTCAGGAGCATATCTGTCAGCTAAACGGTCACGAGGGGGAGGAACTGGAAGATATCTGTCTCTTGCAGCAGCTGGAGGATATCCTCTGTCACCTGGCAAAGGAGCCATGCGTGCATAATATGCTTCTCTTTCCATGTAATAGCGATAGTAGGGGTCATAGCGATCATAGGGAGCTGGTGGGGGAGGTGGATATGGGTACCGATCATAATCCCGTGGGTCACCTCTGCCTTGTGGAGGTCCATATGGACGATTACGATTACCTCCAAACCTGAAATATTATTTGCATATTATTGGTAAAATAAAAGGGATGATACTAGAAAAAACAAAACAAAACAAAAACTTAAATATCACAATTTAACAATTTAAAAATAATGACTTAAGATACTCTTGTCCGCCGTTTTAAAATATCAGCACCATGAAATACAGTAGTATTACAGTTCTAAAACTTACCAATGTTGTTTTTCTAAAAAAAAAAAAAAAAAAAACCCAGAAACTAAATACTTTTACATGATAGTTAAAGTAAAACCATTATTCACTAAGAGTTTTATCTGTATTTCTACTGCAAACAGGGGGTGCAAAGCTTCAACAGTTAATTATTAAACTAAAATTTTAGATCTATAAAGGTTAATCAAGTCAAACCGTCTCGATACTCAATACGGCTGATAGGCTGCTCAATAATACCGATCTGGATTTGTTTTCTATAGTTGACAATCGCAGACGGCATCGGCACGGCCTGGATTCAGCGGACAGAGGTACTAATAAAATTCTACGATCTTGCGCAATAATATTTTCTAACCCTTTCTTGTCGAATTTTCCGCCACCGCCGCCGCCACCTTTCTTTCCGGTCGATAGCTGCAAGATTAAAAAAAATCAATTTTGTATTGTCTTAACAGACAATTTTTTCGTTATACAATGAAACCTGTCTTTGTTCGGAGTTATACTGCAAAGCTATAACTACGGACTGGTTTAAAAAAATACATTACTATAAATAGTAATAGAATTTCAACCCACTGACAAAAATTCTTCCGGCAAAGTATTGTCCCGACAGGTTTCATTGACGCACACAAATGAGAAGCATACCCTATCATGCTTTTAAAACATAAAATGCATGTAAATTCATAATACGGAAAATGATATATAATAACATAAACACAGAACAAATAATATAATTTTTCAATCGGTTTAAATACGACAGTAATCAAATTAAAACTATAAAGAAAATGGAACTGAAACTCACAATTCGCAAATTTTTATAAAACTATCACTAAATGTTTCGATCTGCTTTAAAAATAAGTACCAATAAAGCAATGGTTGTTAGTTATACTATTAACATACCTCTACACGGATGTTATTTCCATCAACACTGTAACCATCTAACTGTGCTATGGCTTTATTGGCTTCATTTTTGTTGACCATGTGCTAAAAAATAAAAATATATATGGAATTGTAAATATAATTTAATTTTTTAAAAAATGTTTAAAATGCTACCTTATATGAACAGAATTAATTCTTACCACAAATCCAAAATTTTTAAGAACATCACATTCAACTACTTGTCCATATTTCTCAAACAAAGGTCGAATCTTGTCAGATGTGGTTTCAGAGCTCAAATTGCCCAGGAAAATCTTGATTGTCATTATGGTTGATCACACTGACCCCACTGATAAAAAGAAAAAAATGTATACAACCAAATCAACAAACACACATCTACTTTATACAAAAATCTTTAGATTTGAAATTAATTTTCAGGGCTTACCAGTATGTTATATATTAGCGCAAAATACAAATAGCTTAAAGCAAGTTTTGATATAATACGTAATTTTATTAAAGGTACACAATAATTTTTGTGCACTTTTAAGCCATGCAGAATCAAACTTTCTAAGCTCTTCCATTAGTAGCACAAAATAATTTTAATACTCAGTAAAACTTTCTACGACTAGAAACTTAATAATAGGCAGCTAACTGGCAGTAATAAAAGAGATTTGATACAAAGATCAACTGCCACACTATGTGATTGTAAAAATTATAGCTCCAAATTCTCATTAGCAAGTCAATTTAACGTCCTTATATATCATCAACCCATCAGTTCAGTTAAATTCTGTAAGTCATCTCCTAAGCATTAATACCAACTCACCAACAATATTTTGTGTACTGCGCATGCTCTTTTTTTTTTTTTTAAAGTTTCCAACTCAATATATTTTTCCTCTAAAAGATTTACTTCAGGGTTAGTAGCACTTCAATGAAAAAATTTTAGTAGGAGACTTTAGAAGGTTTTTATAACCGAAATAACTTTAACGGACTTTATACAGCTGTGCGCAAAATATTTTTGTTAAATCTACACTCTTGATCTAATTAAGTCACAAAAATTTGAACTTTACACTGCTGTGTGAGAATTATTTTCACTAGTTTCTAGTCATTTAGCGTAAATCTAATATCTAGTTCTAAGTCAGTAAAATCGCTGACTTTTCACGGCTGTGTGCAAATTATCTTCAATAAATCTATCGTAGATCTAGACTCTATAGATATAGATTCTTACTCTAAGTCTAAGTCACTAAAATTTGCGACTTTTGACGGCTGTGTGTGAATTATCGTCACTAAGTCTACCGTAAATATACTGTAGATCTAAGTCACTAAAATTTGCGGGCTTTTCACTGCTGTATATGGATTATCTTCACTAAGCTTCTAGTAATTTAGCGTAAATTTAGAATCTAGTGTATTTCTGGAGTAATCTAGATATTAGATGTATCAAGATCATTAAATTGACTAAAATTATGAGTTTTCAGGTTAGGTGCGAATTATCTTCCCTAGATCTTACTCTAGATACCATTACTTGCTAGATGATTTACGGACTTTCCATGCGAAGTCACTCTTACAAGAAGATTTTAGATAAGGGAGGGCCCGGATGGGTGTAGTCTACACATTATGCTAGTAATTGCACTAATTATAGACAAGTAACTACACACTAAATCTAGCACATCTTCAGCGGTAACAATGAAAGGAAACAAACATTTCTGCACTGCCTTCAGAAAATAATGACGTGAAATACTTGCATCATCCATGGCCATCTTCAACCACGAGGTTGCGCTTCACAAGTGGGTGAAAGGCAGCGTAGATGCATCACTGGTCAGCTCACTAACACTGCTAGCCCATACGGTCATGTGATCAGAATGCCTAGTTACGCTGTTGGTCCCCCCCCCCACCCACATTTTTAACAAGAAATAAGCAAAATTATATATTTTTTGAAATATTGGGTAAAACTTTTGGGAGACTGGTCAAAATTTTAGGAGCGCTACGAACCCTAATAGTAATACATCTGTAAGACAAAGTCCATTTTCATTTTTCATTGCTCTGGAAGAAAAAGAATCATGCTAGAATGCTAGGGTTAGTGTTGCTTTTAACGACATCATCCTCCCGAAGAAGACCTTTTGAAAGTACTGTTTGCTTTATATGTTTTGGATAATTTTCAGGTTTCAAGATTATTTACACCCCAGCCCTAACCTCCCTGAGAACGACAAGGGATTGCAGTGTTCAAACCTGGGACAATAGAGATTAATGTCTAGAGCGCATACCATGTGACCATCCTGCCCTCCATTTAATAATGTAATACTTCTACAGTTATAAACAGTATTCTGTTAATGAAGAGAAATTTGAAGTTTTTTTGGGGGGAATTGTCAACTTGGATACCTTTAATATGTTTTTAAAATAAATTAAGGGTCTCTGCAGCAATATAGACACATTTTAACAAGGGAAGCAAATTTTAGTCATTAGAAAATCTCTTTCTAGGTCTAGATTTATCTAAAGGGAAGGGTTTCAGAATCTCTTACAATTTCTTGCAATAGGCAATGATTGCAGTATCTGCTGCTGCCAAGGGAGAGATTTGAAATGCTTGTACTTGATGATTAGTCTATCTAGAGTCTAGATATAAATATCATTTATTCCAAGATTTTTATATTATTATAATAGAAAATCTAGTCAATATACAAGAGTTAGAACTGTTAGATAGAGCTCATTCTGAACAAAGATGGCCGCCTAGAACCAAGCCTTCACTTTAGCCTTGGCATAAGACGTAAGATTATCCAACTTCTAAATTAGATTCATCATTCAGACTAGTGAGTAGACTGGACCAGAGTAGATCTAGTCTGTTTCCTAGATTATATATAAACCTTTAGCCAGTAGATTTATACAGGACAACAGGACTCTACGCCTTGCTTTAATTTCTAAATAACTTTTGTCTAGAATTACGAGGGCTAGCCGCCCCAATAGCGGTAACGAATGACAAATACTAGAATGACTAGATCTTCAGTCGATACACAAAACAATCACAGTGACAATGTCATAGATTCTAGCCTACAGTTTTTTAGTGACAATCTGATAACGCTATCTAATCTTCGGTCTTGTTTTAAAAATTATCTAAAATTAGATCAATACAGAGTTCTAGATTAGATTCTAGACCTTAATTAAAGGATACATTACCTCGACACCACGCTTCTTGAAAAAAGGAATATAAGTTATTCAAGATGGTGTTGCTATACCAGATTTTTCTACAAAACAGACATATATTTTGTTAATAGTAAAAAAAAATAATAATGCGCTATATACTTTTATAAAATTAAACAATATCAGATAAATGATTAAATGTGATTTTATTAATTTTTATATCTTTGTGCTTCAATATCAATATAAAAAGAGAATACAAAATATTAGATACAAATATGAAATTATTTCCAATTCATTTAAAATTTCAAGTCTATCTGACACATGCATTTTAAATCAGGAGGGCGCTAGCTGATAATGAATGTAATTGAATTACAATTTATTTTAACCGCTTTCAAGAACTCTAAATCTAGACTCTATATAAATTTAGATTCTACCTACCAATTACATAACTCTTCATCAGATCTTCTTGCAAATATGTGTAACGGTGTTTTTATAATATGAAATTATTTGTTTTGATAATTGATATGATGCCGCTATTTCTATGATTTTTTTTTGTTTTTGTTATGTTGGGGGCTCTATCAGGGTAATTCGGTTGAACAAAATTAAAGATAAAATAAATTATTGGATGACTCTCCTAGGACTTAGATCTAGTAGGGTACTGACACGTTACTAAATTTTAGATCCACATCTAAACGGCATCACAACGAGAAAAAAAAAAAACAAAATAGAACACTGATACAACTACATATACAAACTTTATTCAGGCTAAAAACTCAGATATGTCGGTGTTATAATAGGTTAAATAAAAAGCTGTGAATAATGGAATCATCATATTGACGAAAGAAAAACTTTTTAAAATATGTTTTTTTACATAAGACAATATACCTTCTTTATAAAACATATTCTATAGAGAGATTAATTTTCTATTAATAACTAATCAATGTTAGATTGTAGAAAATTGAACATGTTTTATCCCTCTTGATTGAATGTGGAAATACCTGAAGACATATATAGTTCGTACAAGAAAAATATTTTCTAGATCTAGTTCTCAAGCCAAATTTAAATGTATTTCTTTTTATACTTTGAAAAAATATTATAACTGTGAAACTATAGAATTTTTCCAGTGTGGCCAACGGGCTAGTAATTATTTTCTTAATTATATATTTCTGAAATTCTTGCCTCCAGCCTTAAAGTGGAGGCACAGTGGGTGAATGATAAAGCGCTTGGGTCCTGGGTTCGAATCCTGGTGAAGACTTGGATTTGTAATTTCGGGATCTTTGGGCACCTCTGAGTCCATCCAGCTCTAATGGTTACTGATATTAGTTGGGGGAATTGAAGGCAGTTGTTCGTTTCTTAATTGGGAACATACTTTACCTTGA